AAACGCACATCGCAACGGCCCTGTCTGTGTGTCTTTGTTCGACTGTCCGGGTATTTCTACTCGCCAGCCGCGCAATCTTGGTGTCATCTGTTACGCACATCCACCTCTCACTTGCGAACACATGGAAGTTTTGGCGAGAAAATTGCTAGCTCGGAAACAAGAAAAGCTAGAAAGCTGAAAATTTGGGGGAATGTTTTCTACCCACGTATGACTAAAAGGTCTAAAATTCAGCTGCTTAAGTCTATCCAGGGTTCGCATATAAACAAGTGAAAATTTTGGCAGAAAAATTGCGAAGACGGGAATGGAAAAAGCTAGTGAGCTGGAACTTTAAGGAAATGTTTCTTAGTCATGCACGATGAAAAGATTTTAGATTCAGCTCCTTAGAACTGCCCGTGTCCCAAGTAGGGGCACATGAAAGTTTTGGCAGGAAAATTGATAACTCGAGAATGAAAAAAGCTGGAAGACTGGAATTTTAAGGAAATGTTCCTTGCTCATGTGCGACTAAAAGATTCCAAATTTAACTCTTGTAGTAGGGTCTTTTTCGCACATCAGCAACGTTCCATTTCTCGGGTCACTGAAGCCGACATCCGCTACTGACGTGCTATGTAGCTGCGCAATTAAATTCCTGAACTTCAGGGGCCGGAATTTCACAAATTCTAGTTACTGTGATTCTTTGCGATCTTGCTAAAGCACGAAATAGTGCAAAAACGCATGATCGCACCGACTCACCTGGTGCATACCAACCTGATTTTTTGTCATGAAAGTTATCGTTGCGACTTAAAAAAGGGCATTGTGCCTGCGCTTTCTTTCAGGCTCTCATTTTTCTGAACTTATCGCTTGTCCGCAATTTGAAGCAATCCAGCTTTTGATCTTAGCACTTTTTTGATTAAATTTTTGCATTCTTTCCACCATCCATAGAGATAGTTCTGCTGTTGTCTGGATGCAGAATTGGGGTGGCTTGTCTTAAGTGGAAAGCAAGAGTAATTTGACGTGGCATCATTGTTTTTCCACTCTTTTTTTTGTCTCAGCCTTTAATGATTTGCAATTTGTAGCCTATTTCTCCGTCTATGTGTTTGGGAACTTTTCCAGTTGTTTTGACTAGTGCTGCTTCGTCTGCTGAATGGTTGTTTCGAAAGAAACACTTAGCAAGGCCTTAGGAATTTCGAAATTTCGCTTGTGTGAGTTGACCACGTCTCGAGCATTACCCTCCTAGATCACGATAATATGCTGTAGCAGCTGTCAGAATTGTTTTCTCTATTTTTTCGCTCTGGACCTTTTTTTAAACGAAGTGTCAGTTTAAGGTGCTGCCTGAATTGCGCCTTCTGGAAGTGCTCGATCTTGGCTCGTGCGATTGCAGCGAACGTGGGATACTCAAAATTGTTGCGAGTCTAAATTCGTCTCAGCATTTACACTTGAAGGTACTGCTTTTCATTTCTGCTTACTTCCAGTACTGGACGAGGGCGGCACAATGAGCGTGGCATTTTATGCGATCAAAAAAACAGCCATTGGGTTGGATGAGGTCGTCTTTTTAGGAAAAAACTGCCTCGTCCAACCCAATGCTTGTTTAGACTGTGTAGGGCCTCCTGCGGGCAGCCGGCCAGTACGCTCCAAAGGGAATCGAATGAACTTTGTTAGGGAAAAGGAGGGCGGGGCGGCAAGCTATTCCCTTAGCCCTTCGGAAATATATTTGACAATATTAGATAACACACAAAACGGTTAAAAAAAAATTGGTCGGCCGATGGACAAGTTCCGTTGGCTGAGATAATAATACATTGGCAACCAGCGCTTCCTAATGGCGCTAATTATGAATTTCTACCGTTGTATCCCGATCATACCAAGTAGTTTTTGCAGAAGCTGAATTTTTCATCGAATGGCTTAGGAGCCAACGCTGTAACATCCATTACGCTTCATTTTGCCAGTGGATTTCATCTGGAAAAGCTTTCATTTCACGCAAACAATCTTGGATCTCGTTACCTAGATTTAAAGGACACGCTTTCTGAGTTTGGATTCGTGGATCTGGGAAATCGCAGGTAATATTTTGTGATAAATGTACCTTTTTTAGCGTCGGTGTAGTTGCCCAATGAATTGTAACTTGATTCAAGTCAGAATATTTCCTCTACATATTGCGGATTGGCTGTTACTGTAAGATGTAAATTTCAAAAACGATTACAGAAATATCAGGAGCTATGCAAAATGTGTGACCAAAAGCTTGGTCCTATTTAATGAATATCATATCGCAGCACTCTCTGTCCGAAACGTCGGTGACATAGTTAGAATAAAGTCGATAATAAAGTTAATTGTAACAACGTAAGACTGCAAGAAGTAGAAGGACGTAAAAAATTATAGCAGAAAGAATGTAAGAAATTATAAAATGTAAGAAATAGTAGCGCATACCAGAATAGCCGGTGTGATCATGCGTTTTGTGCAATTCCGTCCACCGAACGATTGCCTGTTAATGATTTTCACTGCTTTGTATTTTAGA